ATCGTAAAAGGAATACGCTTTCCAGTGATGAAAGAAGTTGAATTCGCCACTGTTGTCATTGATAGCAGAATTTTGACACCAGAGGAAGTTTTCGCCTTTTTCAAATATTACAATTCTGCATTGAATTCTCCTTTGGAATTTTTAGAGTCCGTGAGATCTGGTTTCCACGATGATAGCATTCACCGCTGTCGTAGATTCAGTAGGTTGCAATCTGTAAGAGAAAATGGCTGGAATTATGGACCGGGGAGAGCAGACGGTATTGATTTTACTGTGGATAAAGACATCATGTTGCATGGACTGTGTTTGTTTGGAAGTGAGAATAATGACTACACAGTGACCTTGACGATAAAGCAAACCGGCACTAAGTTGCCCCTAGCGTCCAAAACAGGAACATTTCCTTCCAAGCTGCTGCAGTACGCAGACGGAGGCTACTACGGATTTGAAATTTTGTTTGATTTTACAGTTGAATGCAAAAAAAACACTCGGTACGAAATCGAAGCTGTTATATCTGGGCCTAAGTCTTGGAGAGGAAATGACGGCATCAGCTCTGTTGTTTGTTCTGGCGTGACATTTACATTCACGGACAACGCGAATAGTAATAATGGAACTTCTACTAGAACTGGACAATTTCCTGAAGTAATGTTTTCTATGTTACCAAAACCCCACAAAGATTTAAAATAAGTCCTTTCTACAGTGACTTGATTAATGAACGTTGGTGACAAAACTTAGATCGTTTTAATACTCCTTTACATTTAAGACCATTTCATATACGAAACGCCTAATTTTGGAGCTGAGGCTGAACGGTCTTATATTTTTCGCGATTTGAGGCTGAAAACGTTCTTAAGATGTTCTTAAATTTACATGGTATACAAGGTCAGCTACCTTGATAATACATCAGACTTTGTATCACCTGATGACTTTGATGGTGTGGAAGTTATTTTGGAACAGTTATAAATAAGAACTGCTGATTATTACAAACCGAGATGTGTGTAATGCAATAAGAAAATCATTGTTAATGTTACACAAAACATGCCCTTGAGTATTTGGGTTAATTTTATATATTTTTTTACCTTTATTTTATGCTTGTCATTTAATACATACAAATTAGTAAAATAAAAACGTTCTCAATCGACTCTCAGCCTAAGGAATGTTCTTAACACGTTCTTAAAATTTTGGTCAATCGCAGCCTCAACGTTTTTATAAAAACGGCTCTTATATAAAAAAAGAGCGTGACTTAAAAGAAGGTACAAAACTGCTAAATACGTAGAGGATATTACACGGTGGAGCAAAGATATAAATTTTATTTTCGAGTGGTAAAATACAGTTTCTAACACGAGAAAATAAAATTGATAAATTCAAGCCATCGCGTAATTTTATTGTGTAGACCAACTGACTGTGTGCGAAAACAAACGCGGAAAAGAGGGACATGACGTCATCAATATGTAGTGAGAATATAGAAAATACGCAACTCAGTTCCCGGATGTAGTTCCGTATAACTTTTACGAGTGGGATATATTTTCCAGTAAAACACAAGTGTCTATGTAATGAAATGTGATTTTACAACGTTTGTATGTTGAGATGACAAGCCGTACTGATTACGTTATCTGCTTTTTTCGTGACAGTGCAAATCACTCGCCCAACTGATAGTCACTGTGCAACAAGCTCTGTGCTCGAGCACATAAATAGCAAATGTTTCACAGTTCTTATCAACAACAACAACAGCCTTATTTATTCCTTTCACAAGAAAACATAGTAAGTTGACCTTAAAAAAAGCTAGGAGGTTTAGAGTTTGTTTAGACTTGTATAGGACGCAGTCGGCAGAGGTAGAGCCGAGCAAAGAAGTAGAGTAAATACAATACCAACACAACGACCAAGGACAAACCAAACAAAGATCTCTCACTCCCACTTTCGTTTACGATCCACGATCCAAACTTCAACACATGCAGATAAAAATACTGGAGACTGGGTTAAAATTAACAGCTGATCCACAGTTGCCAAGCTGGAAATCTATTCACCTGACCAACTCAAACTCAGGCTAGCGTGAAGAGTGACCGTTAGTAAGATGAAATGCAAATTTGTTCGACCATGGATGACTGACTGACTAATCAGTTCAATTTATTCAGTGTCAGCAGAGTTTCTTAGAAACAACGCCTTTCAGAGAGCTGAAAGTCTCGTTTTTGAAACCACAGAGCCATGTCCGTGATCGAGAAAAACTGGCAAACAACAAAGCCGACTATCAGAGAAAGAAGCAAGCACATGTTCAACAATGATCTCTTCAGTGATGTCAAGTTTGTTGTGCGAGGAGGGCCCAATGGCGAAAGTGAAAGTAAACAAGTGATTCCTGCTCACAAGTTTGTGTTGTCGATTAGCAGTCCTGTGTTTGAAGCCATGTTTTACGGTGAGCTGGCGGASACTACAGARTCTATTGAACTGCCTGACGGTGAGTACGACAGTCTGTTGGAGTTGTTTCGTTACATGTACAGCGATGAAGTGATCTTGAGCGGAAGTAATGTGATGGGACTGTTGTATTTGGCGAAGAAATACATGGTGCCTTCACTGGCTGATAAAAGCACCGAATATCTGCAAGAAAACTTAGATCCATCAAATGTTTTCAGTATCCTGATCTCTGCTCAGAAATACGAAGAGAAAAACCTGGTGGATCGATGCTGGAAAGTGATTGATAAACAAACGGAAGAGGCTGTGAAATCAGATGGATTTGCGACAATCGAGAGATCTTTACTTGAAGCAGTTGTTGCAAGGGACACTCTGAACATAAAAGAGGTAAATTTGTTCAAAGCAGTCAATCTGTGGGCAGCAAATGAATGTGAGAGACAGGGTTTAACAACCGACGGCGAAAACAAAAGAAGAATTCTTGGAGAATCGATCGTAAAAGGAATACGCTTTCCAGTGATGAAAGAAGTTGAATTCGCTACTGATGTCATTGATAGTAGAATTTTGACACCAGAGGAAGTTTTCGCCTTTTTCAAATATTACAATTCTGCATTGAATTCTCCTCTGGAATTTTCAGAGTCCGTGAGATCTGGTTTCCACGATGATAACATTCACCGCTGTGGTAGATTTAACTCAATAAATGTACTTGGTTTAATCTCGAGGACGACCGACAGTATTGATTTTACTGTGGATAAGGACATCATGTTGTATGGACTGTGTTTGTTTGGAAGTGAGAATAATGACTCCACAGTGACTTTGACTATAAAGGAAACCCTGCCTAAGCTAACCCTAGCGTACAAAACAGGAACATTTTCTTCCAAGCTGTTGCTGCACGGGAACAGAAACTATTACGGATTTGACCTTTTGTTTGATTCTACAGTTAAATGCAAAAAGAACACCAAGTACGAAATCAAAGTTGTTATATCTGGGCCTTGGGCTTGGACAAGAATTGAACGCGCCAGCATTGCTGTTTGTTCTGACGCGAGATTTACATTTACGAACAACGCGAATAGTAGTAATGGAACTACTGTTGAAGAGGGACAAATTTTTGAAATATTGTTTTCTGTGCTGCCCTAATCACGCGTAGATTTAAAATAATTATCTCCTTTACGGCTGCAATGACTTGAGTAATGGACGTTGTCGAAACCGACCAGCTTCGGAAACATGATCTAACATGATGTTAACTGACTTGCGTTCAAATTCATTATATATTATCCTTTTAAATAACAGTGATGAAGTTCTTATTTTAGTAAATTCGCCAATTTCTAGCCAGGAGTAAAAATATATTTTCTGTACATCAATTTCTCAAATCAGCTTTTGGAGTTAAAGTAGTGGTAAGGCTAATAACCAATGTCTAATTAGCCTTGTACGCAAAGTTCTTTGGGTGAAACGTTACTGAATGTGTCTTGATACAGCTTTTTCTGGGCCATACCAAGCATTTTCAATCAACTTTTGTAAGTTTCACCTTCATGGGATCGAAGTGATAATCATACCAGTAACTGGAAAGAGATTGAAGTTTGGTACAATCTTATGGCAACAGATATTTCCATGGAAACGATGAACAAAAAAAGAATTGAAAATCGACAAAACATGAATTTTGCGCAAATCCAAGGTGATCTATAAAACCTAGTGCCGATGTAGAGTAAGTATAAGAAGGTTTAACAAGAATAAACATTTTAAATAAAAAGTAAATCGCACTAACATTTCAAATTATACCTTTGTTTTTGCATAGCAATAGTAAATGGACTAACAGTTGAACACTGTTTCGACAAAATTGCTTCAAACAATAACAAAATGTATCTTAAAGTTATCGAGAAAGAATTGAAAATCGACAAAACATGAATTTTGCGCGAATTCGCGGTAATCTATAAAACCTAGTGCTGATGTAGAGCAAGTAGAAGAAAGTTTAACAAGAATAAACATGTTAAATAAAAATTAAATCGTACTAACATTTCAAATTATACTTTTGTTTTTGCATAACAATAGTAAATGGACTAACAGTTGAACATTGTTTCGACAAAATTGCTTCAAACAATAACAAAATGTATCTTAAAGTTGTTTTAAAGCCATGAAAGTTATGTTGGTTTTCTTTTCCACGAATGCCAACCACAAAAATCAGCAGCACATCAAACACTTGCAAATAGAAACTACCTAAAAAGAAATTGGCGTAACAAAATAAAAAGCGTACAGCAATTTTCGATTGAGTGCTGTAAAACCAAAACCAACATTATCACAAACAATCTAACGTAGGGTTTGTACTCTTTTAATCTTTCAAAATTCCATGACTTTCCATGACCTTTTCCATGACTTTTCTGAGTTTTCCATGACCAAAGTTAAGTAGCTATTCTAACAGTAGTATCAAAACAATCACTCATTTAACATATTTTCCAGCATTATAATGGATAAAATGCCTGCTTGTGTCTATTTGTACTGTAATTAAAACCTGTTTCAGACTCATCTGTTATTTTTTTCGATTTTTTTGTCTTTTTGCCTTTTTATTCCCAGATAGCATATTGCTTTTCCATGAATTTCCATGACCCGCACTTAAATTCCATGACTTTCCAGGCCTGGAAATTGAAATAATAAATTCCACGACTTTCCAGGTTTTCCATGAACTGTACTAACCCTGCAACGCACCAATCAAAACTTGAACTAATTATACATGCACATGTAGCTGACGCAAACCGCGGGAAAACGTCTGGGAACGAGTCACTATTGGTTTTGGTTTCACTTCTGATTGGATAAAAGTGTTGCATGAGTTCTTTTAAGCCAATCATGTTGCGTTGCAATGCAAACCCAGTTATTTTTCAACACTCAAGTGAAAACCACTGTATTAATGGGAAATTTTACAGTTACTGATGGACGTACTTTTGTTCTTGTCAAGGAGAAGCATCTCAAGAGATTTGGGTGTTGACGCCTACAACAAACAAATTGACAATTATTGTACAGAAATATTTCTGCCCCTATCCATTTTCCATTGAAAATAATAATAATAACAACAACAACAACAACAACAACAATAAGAATAGTAATAGTAATAAAAGGTAGCTAAAAACTACTTTAAGTGGAACTCTATTTATGCAAATGCTGCAATCTGTTCGGCTGAGCTATCATACACTGTCAGCCATTTATAGAGTGCAAGTGAGCAGTGGCTTCAGGTCGCTTACACAATGGCAACGTTTTTCTTGCTTACCGAAGTTTAGGAGGACGATTTAGAAACAGTACTATACAATTGAATTTAGGAGAAGATTGTAATTAGAGAAAAGCACTGTCAAGTGACTTTAAACCTCAAAGTTGTTGACTAAATTGGCATCAGCGCGCGTACCCAGCTGCAGGTTTCAAATGCCAATTCATTCCGCTTGCGATTTCACTAAAGCGTGATAGTTACTGAAAATGCTTCATTATCTGGCGGAGAGTTACAAAGAACTCTGACTAGTAAATCAATTAGATTATTCGCTCTCAATTTCTACCTCCAGCCTCATCAACTAACACCGCACAGAAATATCGAGCTCATAATCTAATTATAATATTTAGTCAATGCTGATGTGAAGTGACTATTATCATTGATTGATTGTAAACAATCAATAGGCAAAGTTTCACGAAAATCTCAGTGCAGGTTCTATTTCAGTGGAATGACCTTAACTACATCTGGATTTATTTTCAATATTTTTTGGATGGAAGAAAGAGCAAAAACACATCTTTAAACACAAAGCAAACGTATAATTAATGTTATTTATTTTATTCTTGTTGTTTTCCAATACATAGACCCTTAGCATAAATTATCATAATAAATAAATAATCTTTGATGAGGAGGCCTACGTCACAAAGTGGTTTACAGAATGGTCCTCTATTAGTATTAAACAAAAGCAAGTCTAAGAAAAATGAGCTGGATTTTAAAAAACTAATATATAACTATACAGAACTAAAAATATAAAAAGTATTAATAGATAACAACAAAAGGAGACAATATTAAAAAAAAACTTTGCATTATGCTCACTACATTAAACTACAAATTAAAGTTCGGCTTTGGAACGGACACTCCTAAAATTAATGTCGCTAAGGAGTTACACATATCTGTAGCAAAATTTAGAGTGGTCCAATGTCCCCATCTTCTTCTTGGTCCCTAATGTCCCCATCTGTCTCCATCTTCTAAATTTGAATAACTTAGAGTACTTAAGGCTTTGTACATGTACATCCTTAGCCTCATACTGATGTTTCCAAGCAAAGGATTTGTCACAATAATGTGAGGCTTAGGATGTGTAAGTATTGTTACTCAAATATCCGCCATTTATGCAAAGGATCTAATTTGCTGACTCCAAATCCTGTTTTGTTTTGTTTTTTTACCTCAGCTCTCTTTTGATTTCTTCATAGTTACTCTGTGTATCAAGCTTTGCCTCCTGGTTTGGAAGTAAGCAAAAGAAAATAGAAATTAAACAAACAATATTCAACTCAAAAGCGCGACGTCCATGATAAAGGTTTCCATTTTGAAAACTCCTTGTCAAGAATGACATATTCCTCTACTTCACTTACAGCAACTAAACTACACAATTAGTGTACATGTAACAGCATAGCAACAACTGTGAACATTATAAGTACATATACATATAAATAACATTAATGTGCGCAGGTACATGTACCTTCTATTAACTATTTTTTAGTTAACGCAAAGAGTTCATTCATTTTAAATACATGTAGATTTTCAAGTATAATCTGCACCCTGTAAAAATTTCCCCTATAGATTGGTATGTTAGTTATTACTTAATATGTGCAGCATCGCTGCACAAGAATCCATGATTTTCAGAGTCACAAATTTTGCAAGATAACAATAATGACAGTTCACAATACATTTACAAACTTGTATATTGTATGGTTTATTGTACAGTATGTTGTACACCTGTGGCTGTTGACAGTTCTAAATATTATGGACCTTTTTGGCCATATGGCGACCATTTTGAATTCTATTTTTTCAAATAGCTATTATGGGAATATAGATTTGGCACACATTACCAACTGCTGAAGTGCTGTGGTTTTGCTAGCAAGTTGATCTTCTAATCTGCCAATCTGTAACAAAGTAAAAAATTGGTGAAAAGACCAAAGTGAGAAATACAACATAATTT